ACGGCAGCCACCGACTGACAGCGGGGCGTCGCACAGTGGCGCCAGCACCCGACAGACTGGACGGCGAAGGGCAGGGCACGTGGTTGAGATATTTTTTTTACGGCCGCAGGCGGAGGCGCCGGCGGCGAGCAGTCACGGTCGGGCTGCGGCCGCGAGATACGCGAAACGTCAATACTTTCGACGGGGTTCTGGCCTTGGCGACGAGAAGTGCCACGGAGGCTTAAAGGCCCAAAAGCGTCCAAACACTTGGATCCTGAAACCTTGGCCCTCCTCCTCCTCCTCCTCCTCCTCCTCCTCCTTCTCCCCCCTCTCCTCCTCTTCCTCAGCCCCAAGGGCTCCTTGCTGGGACCAATTCGGCGTCTAAGCCCAATCGGCCGTCGAATGGGCACCCGAACGGTCTCAAATCGAGGATGTCGGTGGGGAACTCTGCCCGTTCGGCGGCCGAACAGGACCATTAAGGGGTGCGTTCGGTTGCCAAACGGGGTCAGACGCTGAACGGGCTCAGAGTGAAACCCTGGAGGCCTGGATGCCGCTTAAATGGGGTCCAAGTAGATGGGGTAGGAGGATCGCTCCGCATCGCCGATGCCTCTGCGGCGCCAGGATGGAGAGATCGCTCTGAATCGAGCCCTACCGCCGATGCATCAGCAATGTGGCGAGATCCCCCGACACCGTCTGCTTCGACCTCATTTGGGCGGCCTTGAGGGCCCCCCTTCGCGGGGAGGGACCACCAGGATCGCGGGCCTCCGGCGTCGGCGGCGAGCCTGGCCGCGAACTCGGACAGCGCCCGCAGCCCCTGGCGGCGGCGGGGGCCGTTCGAAGAGTGCCCGTGCCCCCGGCGCGAGCCTGCCCCCATCCACACGCCGTGGCCACTTTGGCCCAAGCTTAAGCCGTTTGGGCGGCGAAACGCGTCATCGTTTCTGACCCCCGAGGCCCCGAGTGCAGGGACTCTCAGCAGACATCGCGCTCCCTCTCCGCAGACGTCCGGCAAGTCGAGCAGCACGTTACGTCATGTTCTTGCTCGGCTCTGGGGAGGCCAAGGCCCTGGCTCTGGACCGTCAGAACACCTGATATCCTGGGCGTGCCCAGGATGAGAAAAAACGCCGGCGAAGAAAACACACGGCGTCGGGGGTCCGGGGGCGGCGCGCAGAACGGGACGGCGCGAGCGCGAGGGGCGTTGGCCTTCCAAGAGGGCTCGGTGCTCATGAGAAGGGCCGAGGACTCTTCTTGGAAGGCAGAATGGCTGCCAAGAAGCCCCCCTGCCCCCTGCCTTCCCTCGCCCCGCATCGCGCCGCCACATCTCCCCCGACCTTCAGCGAAGGAGGCTCCAGGATATTTCACGCGTGTCACGTGTTGTCTTTTCTGTTTACCCTGGGGCACTCTGGATTCCCCTCGAGATTGTTACACCAACGCATCCCAGGACAAACTCGGATATCGAACTTGAAGGAGAATATTCAGATCGAAACCACGAAAGTCCTGAACAAATCGTGACGGCAACATGCCAACATTTGGGCTTCCAGAGGCTAGTTCCGCGCCCAAGGGATATCAAGAAACGACTCGACCTGACGAACAAATTCCTGGGGAAGGGGTCGAGAGGTGGGAAGATCCACGCCTCCAGAAAACGGAGCCTAGATGTCTGGGCTACTCCTCCTTCCTTTCAGATCGGGAGGGGCGTTTGGCGATGGGGGCCGAGGATGGGTAGCGGGGGAGGGAGGCGGACGGAGGGAGGGAGGAGGCGGGGGGGAAAGCTAGGCTACGCGCAATGGCGCCATATATGTGTCCTTTGTGTGATCCTCAAACGGACGGGGGGGGCTCTGTCCAATGTAGGAGCATGGATCGGATGGGCAAGAGGAATCGCAAAAGGAAAATGATGATGATGATGATGATGATGATGATGATGATGATGATGATGATGATGATGATGATGCTGATGCTGATGCTGATGATGATGATGATGATGATGATGATGATGATGATGCTGATGATGATGAGGAAGATGGAGAATCAGCACCAGCAGCAGGAGGAGTAACAGCAGGAGGAGCACAGGAGCAGAAACAGTGAGAGGGACAAGACGACCACGGAGAGGCGGATGACAGAAATGGATGGGAACGGGCACGGCGAGTAGGGCATCGAATCCCAAAGTGTGGCCCGAAACGTGCTCAACGGCCAGCGCTGCAACGGGAACGCCATGTTTGAGGGACAGGGACGAATCCGACTGATAAAAAACAAACTAACACTTCAACAATTGAAAGCCCTGCGTGTAATCAACCAAGAATTGCGCCAGAAAGCACGCTAGGGGAGAAAAGAGGGTGTAATTGCTGAGAGACGGGGGCGCTGCGTCTCTGTGCGTCGTGCTGCTCTTCGCGGCATTCGGCGGCCCATCGGGCTGACCACGGGATGCACAGAAGAGCGCGGGTTGGCGACTCAAATCTCCGACGCCGGTGGGCGGAGTGAAGACCAGACATCCGGCGGGAAGAGGGTGAGAAGGAGGGGCGTACTCAGTCTCCGCCCCCGGAGGCCTGGGCCTGCAGCGTCGGCGAGGCCTTCTCGGGGAAGAGCGCACCGTCCAGGGCGGGCCACACCTTCTCCTGCGCTTGTTTTGTTGCGGGGGGCGGGGGCCAGGGGGCAGCGGAGCGCAGCCCTTCGAGGAGGGTTCGAAGGCCCCCCTCCCCGCCGTGCAGGAGCCAAGAGACGCGACACCACGTCAACACCTCCGACCTACGGGCCGTGGAGGCGCGCGGGGCCGCCTCGCCAAGAGGTGGCTCGCTGGTGGTGGCGTCGCCTCTGCCCCTTCTGAAGTACTGGAGGGCGGACCAAGAGGGTGCGGGGGGGGGGGGGGGCGGGGGGAGGGCGAAAACAGAGGGGGGGGGGGGGGGAAAGACGGAGGGCGGGGTGGACTAGGAGTTGATGTTGGCGAAGAGTGATGATGGACTGACGAGTGGGAGAAGGAGGGGCGACGGAGGAGGGGGGGGCTCAAGCGCATCATTCGGAGGACGGGGAGGCACTAGAAATGAGGATGTGGAAGGTGAATAGGCGTACGTTCCAGCATCCTCGCGAAGGCGGAATGGTATCTGGTCGGCGGAAAAATACTTGAAGGCGCGTCAAAGGTGGTCACGGAAGCTCGACCACCTCCCGTGTCTGAGAGCCAGAAAAGCTGCGGCAAAGGGATACCACTACAACAAACAAGCGTGAGAAGGGACAAGTGAACTACCGTTCGAATATGATGCTTACACCCGTCCGTCGTGCATTCGGTAAGACAGCGCAAGAGAGGGCTCCACGAACCGCCCCTTTCGAAACAAACAGCTGCCTGGTTGCGAGCGGACACATTACCCTGGTTCCGACAGGTCTCGGAGTTGCCACGCGTCGCCTCGCCCCAAGGACACGTTGGCCCCCCGCGGCGCCAACCGCAGAAACCTTTCTCACGGCGCCAGCGGCAGGGATAAACTAGTTCTTGGCAGATCTCGTGAAGGCCGTTGGTTCCACGGACACAGTGCGCGCGAGCCCGCTCACTTGAATGCTCTACTCGTCAATATCGCACGTTGGTCTCGTATAGCCGCTTTCCGACACAGCGCGGCCTCGTGACACACTCACCAGAGTCGTTTACTTGCTTCGGCGTGAGTGGGCTATGCGACGAGCTCCCGTCGCTGAACTTGACCGTGGGGTGGCCATGGCCGATCTCGCCGTCCATCGCGCTGAAGGTTAGCTCTCGGCCCAATCTGCCCTTGGTCATGGGGTCGGCCCGCGTGTCTCGAGAGTCGCACCAATGCATGTCGTCGATCTGTTTGGTGCGAAGCTGGTCGGCTAACCGCCGCAGGTGGCCAACCGCGCTGTTCTCGGACGGCGGCCGGACCGGGCCCATAAGCAGGGCGCCAAACACGCGCGCGCCGTCCATGACGAGGTCTGCAGGAATCGCGCCCCCGGATTTCCTCGGCAGAGGCGGGGCCGTGCACCCTCTCGCGCAACGTGAGGAAGCGCGCCTGCAGGCCGTCGCCTGCGCCGCGTGCTGCGAGCAGCTCGACGCCGAATGAAGATCTGCACGCAAATGTGCGCCATCGGCTCACAACGTCCAGAAGGTGGCACACATGTTTGCCAGGGCGGCGGCGCTTGCCGAGACGCGCGTTCACTGCTCCACTCGCGCCGCATCCTGATCCCCCCCCTCTTGAAGGACCCGTGGCTGCGCGCAGTGGGTCGCGCACCAATATAATAGACATGCGATGCGTTGGCTGCCTGGCGGAACTTGTTGGGGTCGGAGTTCGGTGGCGCGCGTGGCAGCTGCCGCCGCCTGCGTCCACGCAGGCGATGCAGCTTGCGATGGCAAACGTGCCAACTCCGATGGCCTTCCTTCTGGGGCGCGGATCCGCGGGTCGCACCAGAGCCTTTGGGCCCTCGAGCAGCGTCGCATGGGTCGCCGAAGACACTTGCCCCAAATACGAATCTCCTCGTCAGCGCATTGGGCGTATGCTTCTGCCGCGCCACTGCAATGATCGCGGTGCGCGCGAAGCATCCCCGGACGCAATCACGGGAATCTGTCTCGTATGTCGGAATGCGCATCGGGATCCCGTCCTGCCCGGCTGGCCGGTCTGAGTAAGTCAAGCGAAGGGTCGGGTCTCGACGTGTGGTGCCTCGGAGCGATGGCGCCCCAATCGTCGCGCCTTCCACTGCCTCCCCGCCCGGCACCTGCGACGCGGTCGCAGCATGCCTCTTCTCGGTTTCCTTCGCCCACGGCTTTCGAGACACAGCCCAAAGAGGTTTGAGGCCTTCTTCTGGCACCGCAGATGTGAACGTTGTGTCGAGCAGCTGTCCAATAACTGAGGCTCACCCCCGCGGACGCGGGGCGCTAACGATTTGGTCTGGGGTCCGCGAGCTTCGTGGACACAATCCGAGGATGCCCGGGACGGGTCGCCGAGCAGTCCTTTTAGATGTTGGTGGCGTTGCCATTGATGATGCACTGGCTACGCAAGTTCTCGGTCGGTGGTCGTGGCGGATGGGCGGATGGCCCGACTCACCTCGACGAGCGTAGTTTGCCATAGTACGGGAAGGGGTGGATGAAAGCGGAGGTCTTGAATAAGGGCGTGCACGCTCCCAGTCGCGAGTCCTGGCGGATGGGCTTGTGCAGTCCCGACACATCTTGAAGCAACGTTTCATGCCAGAGCGAAGGGGGGGAAATGCACGAATGCGTGGATGCTGAAAGCGGTTGGCCGAAGTCAAAAGCGGCGGCGGGTGGAAACCATTGCGGTCGACGCGGGGCGAAACATGGCGGCCGTGGTGGGGGCAAGGGCGGACCTGCTGTGCTGCCAACTAGAAGTGAGGAAGTCGAGCGTGACACAAACAAGCGCACTTGCCAGTACCCTCGTGAAAGCGACATGGTATCAGGTCAGTGGCAATCTGCATGAAAACGTGTCCAAAGCGGGCACGGAAGTTTGGCCAGCTTCCGTGCCCCACGGCCCCCCAACAAAAAACAAACAGCGGCAAAGGGAGCCCATTACAACAGGCAAAAGTGAGGAAGGGACAAATGGGCGGCCGTTCGAATAAAAAGGCGGGGCCCGAAGAACAACCAGGAAGAGGATGAGGATGAGGACTGCTAGGAAGGAACGGGACGAGGGGGAATGTGGATAGGAGGGACGAAAGGGCGAAGGCCGAAGAAGAAATCAGATGGAGGAGAGGTAGGGAGGGTGGACGGGGGAAGAGCACAGTGAGGAGAGGAACAAGAAAGACTAATTCTAGGCAAATGAGAACGACAACGACGACTAGACTGGAACCACGGACGAGAACCGCAGTTCCGTAACGCTTCCAGCTCCCACGCCCTCCTGCAAACCCTGCGAGGCCCCGACCCGCAGCCACCATTTGCACAGCGGCTCTAGCGCGAACGGCACGGCGTCGCTCACGGGGTTCGCCCCGAGCGCGCACCCGAGGCCCTTCGCCAGCCGCTCTGCGGCGCTGGGCTTCGAGAGCCTCTCCTCCTTGACGCAGGCTGGCCACGCCCTCAGGTCTCCCTCCATGGCACTGGCCTCCTTCGCGTCCAGGTACGCCTGCCGCAGCTCCAGGGCAAGCGCCGTGGCGTGCATGTCGGCCGCCTCCAGTGAAGCGGGGCCGAAAGCGACACACGCGTTGGAGGAAGGGCCAGGACGCCCAGGGAATTGCGATGGGAGGAGGCGTGGGTGCGCGGGAGGTAAGTAAGGATAGGGAACCCAAGAAAGGACGTACGCGCCCAGCCACGTACATGAATATGCCCGCCCTCCCAAGGTCGCGAAGCCGCCGTCCCGAAACACACGTGAAGTCGTGTCCGCGCACGCCTCCGCTCCCAGAGAGACCCAAACCTCCACCGCTACAACGGTACTTCTCAGTACGCGGGACTCGGAGTTCCCGACCCCATCTGGCTGTTCGCCAATCTGTTTCTCGCCCTCTCTCTCTCTCTCTCTCCCCCCCTACCTCTGTCTTCGGGGCCCCCAGAAGGGGGCCCGCAGGCGGCCCACGAAAGGCTGGAGCGAGAACCTGGCGCCCTGACCTCCAGGAGGTGCCCGGAGGTCGGCCAGTGCGGGGCCTCCCCTCCTCCTGGCGGCGCGCACGAGGAGGGGCGCCCATCTTGAGGAACCGAGCGTAACATTTCGGAGGCCCGCTCATGTTTCTCGCTCGGATCGGCGCTGGACCCTCTCCCTGGCGCGCCAGGAGGAAGGGGAAGGGGCGTATCTCACGGCGGCCCCACGGTGAGGGGCAACGATATGGAAGGACCAGCTCCGAGGGAGAAACATCGAGCTGGAATTGGCAATACATCGCCGATAGATCGGCGATAGGCCTCCGACAACGAAACCCGACGTTCCTGCGCGGGGCGGGCTATTCGGCCCCTAATCGGCTAGGGGTCGACGCATCCCCCCTGAGCCTGTCCCTCCCGAACGTTGCCCCTTACTCAAGAGGACCCTGAGAGGCCTCCACGAGGGCCTCCGGGAGGCCTTCCCGAGGGCCGGCGCGCCCATCCCCCTGAGCGCTGGACAGCTCCATGGGCAACCGCACGGGAGCCCTATCCCTTCAGGTCGGGTTCCCGAAGCACTGGCTGAAGTGGGGGCGTCCGATGATACCCCACCGCGTTGGACTTGCAAAGGTGAGGTTCGCAACTGGTCGCAGGACCCAGGAGTCCAGGAGCCGTGCGCCTCCCGATTCCCCGAAGGCTCGGGCCGCTCCGACACGGCCAAGCCTTGGCCACGAGAAGGCTTTTCCCGACCAGGCTGTGAGGACCCGCGCAGAAACAGCCGCTCCTGAGCCCAGGGCGGATCTTCTCCCGGCGCCTTGGGTGCGCCCCGAGATGGCCTCCAGCCTTGGCGCCTCCAGCTCATTTGTGCCGCGGCGTCGCCCGGGAAGGTCCTGGCCCAAGAGGCCACCCAAAGGGTTCCGACGCGGCTCGAGGCGGCCCCAAAACGGCCGAAAAAAACGCCCAAAACTGTCCAAGGGGTTTCCGAAAGGGGGACCGCCAAGCAACAGTTCGAGCCTTCCGCCCAAAAACGCCCCCAGGAGGCCCCAATAGGCGCCAAAGGGAAACCATTCATAGGCCCAAGATAAGCCCAAGAACGCGCCCAAGAGGGCGCCAAGAGGCTCAAATCCCCCCTTCCCCTCAATGCTCCCCCGTCTGCCCACTGTCCTCTTCGTCCTCCTCGTCCTCCTCGTCCACGCCCTCGTCCTCGTCGTCCTCCTCACCCTCCTCCTCCTCCTCTTCCTCCTCCTCCTCCTCCTCGTCGTCCTCCTCCTCTTCCTCCGTCTTCTCGTCCTCCTCCTCCTCTTCCTCCTCCTCCTCCTCCTCCTCCTCCGTTCTCCCTCCCTCTCCCCCTCTCCTCGTCCTCGTCCAAGTCCTCCTCCTCCCCGTGCTCCTCCTCCTCCTCCTCCTCCTCCTCCTCCTCCTCCTCAAGTTCGTCCTCCTCCTCCTCTTCCTCAGCCTTCTCCTCGTGTTCCTTCTGCTCGTCCTCCTGCTCGTCCTCCTGCTCCTGCTCCTGCTCCTGCTCCTGCTCCTCCTCCTCCTTTTTTCTCCTTCCCACACCCCCTCTCCTCTCATCCTTCCTAGTAGATTGGTCACTGCGGGGTCACAGGGTGGTCACTGCGCCGTGGTCGGCGCGGTGGCCTTCACTGTTGGAGGCCACGCGTCCTCGGGGCCCCATTCCTCAGAGGCCAATCCCTCTATCGCCGACACCTCGCCCCCGCTGCACCCCAAGACGCCGTGAACGCACAACATGGAACAAAACACAGCGCCCTGGCCCGAGCCGCCCGCCCATCCTCGCGCTGCGTGCTGAGCGATGTCCAGTCATCTTATAGCGATCTCGCGGCGCCCCCCTGAAGAGCAACGCGCCTCCCCGGCCAGACCCGCGAAGCGCGTCCATCCTCGCGCCCCCATGGAAGACAACATTTTCCTTCCGGCGGGGTCGTGTCGTGACGAACGTTGAACGCCCGCGTTCAACATTGAACGATCGGCGGCGTTTTGATCGCCATATTGGCCCACTCTGGGCCACTGGCGGCGTTCAACATTGAACGTCAGCGGCATGGTCGCCGCCGCATCGACACGACAAGAACCTACTGTATCTGGGCGGTTGACTCGCACCCCAGGGGCGACCATTTCCGGCCTCGTCGCCCTCACGCAACTTCTCGTCCAGCTTGAACGGCCCCAGCAGGTCTGGCACGAGCCCTGCCAGTCCGGCGGCACTGAGCTCGCGGCAGGCCTTCGCGACGAGGAGGGACGCCGGATCCTCGCGCAGATGTTGTGCAAAAGAAGCGGAACGACACATATGCAGATACAGAGTTATCGACCGTGCAAGCAGAACGCCGCTGCGACTCATGGCCGCTGGCATACAATCTTACGGCGGGGGGGAATCTGAGAAGACAGCCCGACCCCACCCGAGAGTTCTTTGCGCACCCACACACGCCGCCCAGATAAGGGGGTCTGGAGGGCGGGGGTCCAGTCTCAGGCCGAAGAATCTACTATCAGCCAGGACCTGCTTTGGCCCTGACGGGGAAGAGGGCTAGCAGGGAAACGTGTCCTAGACCCATGGGGCCCTCCACAGGACCAATCCTTCATCCCGAATCATGTTTCCATGAATGCGGCGACATACATCCAGGACCCTTTTCTCAAGGACCCGCTTCCGTTCTGTAAGGTGGGAGGGCGGTCCCCGCGGATTCCTTGGATCGGCGCTGAAACCCCCCCTGCCCTGGAATGCGGAGAGCGCCGAGGGCGGCATCGGAGGCACCGCCGAGGGCCCATCGCCGGTCCAAGAAATCCGCGCGGACCTCCGATGCTTTCTGTTCATGAAGCGTTCTCCTCCTCGAGGGAGGGGTCTCTTCAGGGAGGGGGGGCCTGGAATGCGGAGGGGCCCGTGAAGGGGGAACCGATGTATCATAAAACGACGACGACCCTCGAGGATGCTCAGAAAAAGCCAAGCACGGCCGAACACCTCGAGTCTGCACTCTCGAGCCTCGTCCGAAAAGTTTGCTCCATGGCGAGCCTGCAACACTCCTTCATGCTACAGGGCCAGCTGAGACAACGACTCTCCCGCACGGCCGAAATGCGCTCGACATCTCCCCGGGGCCCGACATGACCCCTTTTTTTTGGGGCGATCCAGCCGTGGCGACGAGACGCATCAACGACGTTCACGTTCAAGGTGAAGCACCACGGAGGGCCGCCGTAGCCCTGACGAGCCCTGCTCCAAGATTCGGGTCGGGCGAAAGGGGGGGATAGCAAAGGGGGGGTTTGAGAATCAGCTCACGTAGCTGATTTTCCCGGCGCCTCCCGGCGCCGGAGGCGGCGGTATCGAGGAATGAGGAATGGGCCCCTCGGTGAGGCCGAAACCAGCTGCATGCAGCAAATTTCGTAACCCCCCCTTTCCCAATCCCCCCCTTTCGCCCGACCCGAAAGATGTGGGAAGCAGCGTCCTTCAGGTAGGGCCTCGCGGTGTAGATCTCCTGCAGCCCCAGCCCGAGCTCCGCCACAACGGCCCGCCCGCCCTTGGCGGCCTTGCCCTCGGAGAGCCTCCTGCGGGCCGCGCCGCCCCGTCGCCGCCGCCAACGTCGTCCTCGCCGTCGTCGTCGTCGTCGTCGACGACCTCTTTGTTTTCGTCCTCGTGGCCACGTCGCCGTGGTCGTCGCCGACCTCGTCCTGGGCCATCGTCGTCGCCGCCGCCGGCGCCGTCCTCGTCCTCGTCTAAGAGGAAATACGCCACTGCGCTTGCAGCAGTAGGTGTGTGTGTGTGTGTGTGTCTGGCCCTTCGCTTCCTGCGAAACAATACTTCGCCCCCCCCCCCGACGCATCGAGCCCAACATGTGCTCATTTGTGTGACCAGCAGGAGTTCGTAGCCAAATACGAAGTGTGGGGAGCGAAGCTCCACAAATTACTCCCTGTCCCCAGCGCTCGCGCGCCCCCCCAGGCCCTCTCGTCACCATCGCCAGAACGGTCCCAGACGGCCCCAGAATTCGTCCAGTGAGCCCACAAAAGGCCCCCGAAACGCACCAGGACGGGGGGGCCCGAGTCGCCGCATGATCGCGCCCAGACGCTCAAGATTGCCCCAAGACGGCTCAAGAAGCCTCCAAGACGCCCCAAGAGGCCCCCAAGAGGCCTCTCCAAAAGGCCCGGAGAAGCAACCGTCGTCCCATTCCCTCAGAAACACGTTCGTTGTTTACCAGATTCGCCTCTTGAGCTTGCACAGCGTCCGAGAAGGCCCAAGAGGCCCCAAAGTTCTTTCCGAGACAGCCCGAGAGGCCCCGAAGAGTGCTCCAACACGGCCCAATAAGGCCCCACAACGGCCCCTCAAGACGGTCCAAGAGGCGCCACAGACTGCCCAACAGGACCGTCTTGACGGGCCCAAGAGAGGGCCTGGAATGGGGAAAAATCACAAGAAGCACGTGCGCCAAGGATCATACAATCACGGGGCCGGGACAATGGGAAATGGAGATGGCGCCAACCTGTGGCAGTTGCGGAGAACGCGCGAGTGCTGCGACACGCCTGCGAATGACCATAACGGGGGAGCGGCGAATAGCAGCATATCTGTGTGGACGCAGCGCCAGGTTCGATCCACTCGAGAGAACGGGTAGATAGGGGTGCGTTCCCTGCCCACCCACATCCGTCTGCTGATTCGATCCACCCTGCCGCCCACCACCGCCTCGCAATCCCCGTCGTTCGTTCCAGGCGTGCTGTTCGCGGACGCGGGTTGCGTTCGGGGCCGCGGCCTCACGGCAACACTGGGTGATCACATGATCCACATAACTTCACGAGGTGGCCTTGGACAGGTTGCCGAAGCGTCTAACAGAGCGCGCCTCGACCTCAATCTCCTCCTGGGGTAAGATGGGGGAGCGGGGCGAGCGGGAAGGGGTGGGGTCGGCGGAGCGATTGCCGCTGTTTGCCCAGACCGTTGGAGCAGGCAGCGCGCCGATCCTCGCTGGAGACCTAGACGGACAAAGCGCCATCTCTCCAATGCCCACCGTGCTGCAATCGCGTCGTATACCCATGATGTCCACAAGCGGATTGAATGCGGACGAATCATCCTCCGAAACAGAACAAGCATCGCGTTTACAATCGGTGTGCACCGTCGAGCTCAAAGGTCTTTGAGCGACAAAGCTCCTCCGACGACGCGCGAGACGGGAATGGCGAAGAAAAAGGACGACGACGAAAACAATTACACACATTAGCTTTATCCGGGTAAAATCTACAGGGGGTTAGCGCGCAATTCCTTGCAAATCAACTCATAACTGCGCTAGAGCGCCCAGACCGCGAAGCGGGGGCGCGCGCTGGAAGGCGGAACTCGCGGCGGTAGCCCCCAGACCCGCCGGCTGCGGCAAGTGTCCCATGCGGCTCGGATGACCAATCCTTCGCCGGCCCTGGGCTGGCTCCCCGCCCCCGCACACGCTTCTGCAAAAACCCCCGAGCAGGCCCCGCCTCGACCCGCAGTGGGGCGCCGCGGCCGTTGCCCAGGCGCTCGCCGCGCATGGGGATGCCACGGGGATTTGTGCAGGCCGCCCGCTGGCACGTCGGAGTGCTGCATTTGCGCCCCACTAGCGTCGACTGGTACTTCTGCGCGCGACGGGCGCACAGGCAGATCTGCGCCACCCCCCCGGCCCGCGGCACAAGTGCGTCGGACGCGGCCGCGCCCCCCACCGGCGGGGCCGCTGGTCCCATGAGTCCCTGACCCGAACAACCCTCCGGACAACGCGGCCGGGCCCCGCTCGTCAGCTGCGCACCTGCCCGTGCCGCTAGGCACGGTCGCTCCTTGGCTTCGTTTTCATTCTCCGAATCCGGGGCTAACGGCCGACTTCCCGCAGTGTCGTTGACGCAGCGAGGTTCCGGGCGGGGGCAGCGCGTCCACTTGAGCGTCGACCAGCCCAGTCCAAAGGCCAGCCACCAGACCAGGGCGCCCACTTTACGCGGCCCCGCGGCCGCGGCGCGACGGGGCGCTGCTGCTCCATGCTCTCCGAAGTCAACGATCTGCGCGTGATCGATGGTGGCGAACTGGCCCACGTGCATCGGGCGCGCTGCCATGCGCTCCACTGTCCGGCAGAGGTGAGCCTGGCCAATAGCTCCCAAGTTAGCTCTCCAGGCACGGCTGGTGCAACCCAGCATCTGATCGATATGCACCATCAAGCCGTGCCGATCAAGGCGAGGCCTCGACAGTGCGCCACCAGGGCCCGCCGCCGCATTGAAGTTACAGGATACTCGCGCCGCCTGCCCGCGTTTGCGAAGCAGTTGGTGGTTCGGGGCTTGGTTGGCGCCTGCGACGACGAGCGCGACGACGGAGGAGGCGACGACGACGACGGCGGCGACGATGATGACGACGGCGGCGGCGCTGACGACGGCAAGGGCGACGACGACGACGGCGGCGCCTCTGTCGCCGTCGACGTCGTCGCCGTCCCTGCGCGGGGGGCGGGCCGCGGGAGGTCCTTGGAGTCTTTTCGGGGCCTCTTGGGGGGATCTTCCCCTCCATAGGCCCCCGCTGGGTTTGGTCCATTGGGGGATCTTTTGGGGGCCTCTTGGAGCCTCTTAGGGCCTCCAGGGGGGCCTCCTGGGACCTTCTTGGGACGGAAGGGTCGGATTTTGGGGTCGGGTTCCCCCTCTTGGGCTCCTCTTGGGGCCGTCTTGGAGCTCTCCTAAGTCGTATTGGGGACCTCTTGGAGTGTCTTGGCCCCCTCGCGGGACGTCTTTGGAGCCTCTTGGGCCGTTTTGGGACTCTCTTGGGGGCTTCCTGTACCGTCGTCACCGCTGTGAAGACCGACGAGTCGTATATGCTAAGAATGTACGCTTTCCTATGCAAAATCAATAGATCTGGACTTTTGGGGCCCTCTTGGACAGCCTCTTCGGGGCCTCTTGGGGCGTCTTCGCGGTCTCTTGGGCACTGTGAGAACCGTCTTGGGCGCCCAACGGCTAGCTTTGAGCGCTCCGGGGCCGCCATGGAACGTTTTGGGAGCCTCATGGGTCCCTGTGGCCACGCCTTGGCCGCCCCTCGGGCTGTATTGGGCCGTGCTGGTAGCCTCTTGGGGCCGTCTTTTGGGGCCTTTTGTGCCGTCGTGCACGCCGTGAAGACCGAAAGGTCGTCGATGCTAAAGATTTAAATTGTCCGACGCAAAATCAATGATTTTGGTCGCTTGGGATTCCCTTGGAAAGCTTCTTGGGGCGTCGCAGCGGCCTCTTGGGCTCTATGGGAGCCATTTTGCGTGTCCAGGGGCGATCTTTGAGAGCCTCGGGGCCGTCTTGGACCGATTTGGGAGCCTCTTGGGGCTCCGTGGACACGTCTTGGCCGCCTCATGAGCGCGCCTTGGCCGTCTGTGGGGCTGCCTTGGGCTCCTCTTGGGCCGTGTTGGGAGCCTCTGGGACCGTGTTGGGGCCGTCGTGGGGGCCTCTTGTCCCCTCGTGCGCGCCGCGAAGACAGAAAAAAACGTAGATGCTGAACATGCACATGTTCCAATGCAAAATCCATGATTTTGGCCGCTTGGGGCTCTCTTGGAAAGCAACTTGGGGCGTTGTAGCGGCTTCTTGGGCTCTATGGGAGCCACCTTGAGCGTCCAGGGGCGATCATTGAGCGCCCCGGGGCCGTCTTGGACCGATTTGGGAGCCTCTTGGGGCTCCGTGGACACGTCTTGGCCGCCTCTTGAGCACGCCTTGGCCGCCTCTGGGGCTGTCTTGGGTTCCTCCTGGGCCGTGTTGGGGGCCTCTTGGGCCGTCTTGGAGCCGTCTTTGGGGCCTCCTGTGCAATTTTGTACGCCGTGGAGACCGAAAAGACGTGGATGCTAAAATGCACGGTTTCCTATACAAAATCAATGATTTTGGGCGCCTGGGGCTCCCTTGGGAAGCTTCTTGGGGCGTCGTAGCGGCTTCTTGGGCTCTATGTGAGCCATTTTGCGTGTCCAGGGGCGATCTTTGAGAGCCCCGGGGCCGTCTTGCACCGATTTGGGAGCCTCTTGGGGCTCCGTGGACGTCTCGGCCGCCTCTTGAGCACGGCTTGGCCGCCTCTGTGGCTGTCTTGGGCTCCTCCTGGGCCATGTTAGGAGCCTCTGGGGCCGTCTTGGGGCCGTCGTGGGGGCCTCTTGTCCCCTCGTGCGCGCCGCGAAGACAGAAAAAAACGTAGATGCTGAACATGCACGTTTTCCCATGCAGAATCCATGATGTTGGCCGCTTGGGGTTCTCTTGGAAAGCAACATGGGGCGTGGTAGCGGCTTCTGAGGCTCAATGGGAGCCATCTTGAGCGTCCAGGGGCGATCTTTGAGCGCCCCGGGGCCGTCTTGGACCGATTTGGGAGCCTCTTGGGGCGTGGTAGCGGCCTCTGAGGCTCCATGGGAGCCATCTTGAGCGTCCAGGGGCGATCTTTGAGCGCCCCGGGGCCATCTAGGACCGGTTTGGGGGCCACGTGCGCCTCCCTGGGCACGTGTTGGCCGCCTCTTGGCCCGGATCCACTTCCGCCAGCATATATATGTATATATATATATATAGATACATATATATATATATATATATCTGTATATATATACATATATATATATATGTATATATAC